GCCTCTGTTCCCTGCCGTCCCTTCTTCTGTTTCATCACTCATCGCTTCTCTGCAAAGATTATTAGAGAAGTCAACTAAGATTGATGGATGGAGATGGAAGACACTCAGAAGCCCATCTCTCTCGCACTCATCTTCATCTGGGTGTTGGTACTGACAGCAAAGGAGCAGTGGACGAGATGGATGGATGGGTCTTTTCGTGCTACTGTACATCATGTACAGCAGATGGTGCGGCATCCCTAAGAGCAAACTATATATAGCCCCCTTTTTTTGTTTGTTAGTTTAGACATCTTGGAAAATATTAATTTAACACCATTGGCTCCAAAACAGTGAGTCCAGTGTTTATGGGAAACTTTTAACGCCATCACGGATATGGGTGTGTGTAACTCTGCATTCGTCTATTAATATCCTGAGAGTAACTACGTGAGGTGCCGCAGGCTAATAGGAGCCGTTATAATGAGGGATGATACCAATAAATTGATATCTCCCGCACTTACTACTGTACTCTGCGCCGCTGCAGTTAAAAGGATTGACTCAGCCTCCACTAACCTTGTGTTTGACTTGAACTGTCATTAGCACATCAAAAGCGGATTAATTAATCACAGGTCCACCGGGGTGTGCATTACCTTAAGTGACTATTGTAATATAACTTAAAGAGAAATCACCCGTGATTTCGCATCTTGACACCAGAATGAATGCGTTGCTACTTCCAGGAGTGCTGATGCTGTCATCAAGAGGGAGAAAATGGATTCTGTAAGTGGTAGAGAGTCTATTACCGCATTAATTCTGCTACAAATGGAGCTCTTCACAAATGGTCAACACTTAAATCTCATCTGGTCCTCTTCAAGTCGGGCTTTCCATTCTGTTCCCCTGCATTCACAGCCTCGCCTTGTTCTCCTCAAATAATCCTCCTAAAAGTTCTGGTTTTTAAAAAAAAAGGGGGGACGTGACGTTTTGTTTCATTTTGGCAGAAACGTCTGTAAAATATAAACGCTGTCGACTACACGCTGACACACGAAGGTCAGAGGACTTGTTGACTGCTCCGAGTGTCAGCGTCTGAAAAGAGAGAGCGAGTGGCTATTTGTGTTGTTGTTCTTCCCTTCAGCTCAGATGCTTTACCATCCTGTTACACGGTGACATTTGCAAACACACTGTGACTCACTTAGTCGAGGGAAGAAGAGGCGAAATCACCGCTCGAAGCAAACAAGATCCCCGGAAGATGTAAAGTATTTGATATAATTATGTAAACAAGTCGCAGTCTTATCTCTGTGACCTTCACCAGCATCATTCTTTGTCCTTTATTGCGTGCCTTTTCTTTTTTCTTCCCTCATTCTTTTTTCTGTGTCAGTAAATACGTGGTGCAGCTGTTGTATTAACCAGATTACAAGCCTGCATTAGTGTACTAATAGTATCCCCTGCTGGCAAAAGAGGGAACAGTGCACAGCTCTGCAATGCATTCCTGCTTTAGAGGCATCAGAATGGGAAAAGTGGGTGAGTGAAAGTGGTGAAAAAAAAAAAATGTAGCACCTAAACTGCTTTAACAGACTGTAATTAAATGTTGCCCCCTTTAGAGCCACCAGAGGTATTCGAGTGATCGGTTTCATTCATCAACAACCACTTTATATTCAAGAGTTTTCCTGCAAAAGTAGATGTTTTAATTCTGTAAATAGTCACACAGGGATCTTTTTTTTTAAATATATAAAACCATGAGAGATGATGATAATACAGTGAAAAGTACATTAAGCCAGAACAAGTCGCAGCATCTCACACACCTCAGCTGCAACCCACCACTCTGATCAGCGCCGATTCTCAGCACTGATTATGACTGATTGCCGCCTCCAATTAGTCATGCACCACTCAAGTCACACAAGTCGGCGAAATCTATTTCCGCACGCGTCTTCACTTGCTGTCTGTCAAACTTTAAGGTTCGTCACTATTGCTGAGCCCCCTTCTCCGCTTCCAACAAAAACAGTCACCTTCCCTCCCTCTATAAACACGCCGGTTTCCATGCCATCCTGGAGCAGCAGAGTCCGCAGAGCAAACACTCCAGCAGCCAGCAGAGAGAGAAAGAAAAAAAAAAAAAAGGCCTGACAATGGGGGTCTGAACTGATGTGGAGGGCTGAGAGAGGAGAAGGAGGATGAAGAGGAGAAGGAGTGGGTAAGTGTAATGGAGACAGAGCAGGTAGCAGATTCGTGCAGCACAAAGTCACAAGCAAGCAGCAGTGGGAGAACTGTTCATATCATTTACTTGAGTAGAAATGTCAGTGTTGTAATGTAAAAAATACTTCAAAGCTCCTGCATTAAAAAAAAAAAACTCTTTTGAATAAAAATACATAACCATGCTGGCTAAAAAATAAAATGTTTTTACTGGAATTTTACATTCTTACAGGTTTTTCTAGTTATGTTAAATGACAGATAATATCTAGTCAAATCCCCCAAAAAATATACATTTTCAATGTAAAAAAAAATGATATAAAAAAAAATGGCAAAAAATGTAAATAACTCCAAATAAAAAATCTGGTAAAAAAAAATTAAATTAAACTAAATTAAAATAATAATAATAATAATAATTTGTTCGTCTACATTTCACCACAAAATGACAGTATTTTTCATTAAATCAACAAAAAAATTATCATTATTTATTGGATATTGGCATGAAAATATGTATATTAAAGACTAAAAAATGGTTTTAAAATAACAAAAAAATTATAAAAAACTCTTATTTTAAAGATTTCCCCTCTTTAGCTACAACTAATATCTTGTAAAATGGAAACTAATATTATTTTCATTTAGGATTTTAATTTTAACATTTTTACAAATACTAATTTATTCTTTTACAATGTGTGACCATAAAATTGCATAATTTTAATGCATTTAAAGCCTATATAATATCATTATTTTAAAGATATTTGTCACTTTTATTGTATTATTTGTGTTTTTCTTGCACCTTTGCTGCCAGATTTTAACTGTATAGTTTTTCACAGTATATGAGCAAATAAAAATTGGTAAAGCACTAAAGTTAAGGTATTGATTTAGTTCTTTTGACTGATATATATGACATCAGGCACAGCAGCATGTCCCTGCTGCGGGTGGAGCTACTTTGAATTCTTTTGTATACAGTTTTATGGACGGGGACAGCAGATAAATCTGAGGGCTGTAGGGATGTTTACTGGGAGAGAAAGTTCTGACAAGTTGTTTTGTTTTCAGTGTTTGACCTTTTTCACTAAAATCTTTTTGCTGAAATATCGGATCATTTGAACATTTGCAATCGAACCATGTATCAAGCTTAGAGGAGGAAAAATCACTGTATGGTGAAGCTGTTAACAAGTCAGAGCTCATGTGAAATGTGACCCCAACAACACACTGCTTTCTACAAGACATCAGAAGTGTATGAAAACAATAGTTGAATCTTTTAAAAATGTGCTGTATTTTAAAAACTTGTTATCCAATCCACAACGTACAATCCTAATCTTAAAAGTGACTAATGAAAGTATAAAATAGCACAAAATGGAGACACTCATGTAAAGTCAATGTACCTCAGAATTGTTCCGAAGTACTGTACCTGAGTAAATGTACAACTTGTGAATGAGCGGGAATACCTGATGGCAACAATGAAAATAGAGTTTTGCATAACACTTAATCAAACTGTCATAAAGTGAGGAAGTCTGTTAAGGATACAGAAGAGAAATTAACGTATGGCTACAGGTTGGATTTGGCTCAGAGTGTTCTGAGCTGCAATTGATGCACTGAGAATACATCTGATTGCATTTTCCTTCTTTTCAGAACCGTAAAGATATTTTAAAATTTCAGTTTCTTTGAGGAGAAAAAAGTACATCACAATGCACAAAATCACCACCATACTTCTTTTCATTGCTACTTAAAGCCTGACAGCTGACTCGGCTCACAGTCCTTCACCCCCGTCAGCATCTATATTGACTGCTGCTGCTGCTGACGTGAGGATTCAGACGCCAAACTCTTTCACCAGCCATCAAAGATGAGCTGTTTTCAATACTAAAGTTACACCAGATGGCTTGAAGTCATCTTAAAAATTAGGCCTATCGAATCAAAGCACAAGTTTTTGTTTTGAAAACTATTAAAACTACAGGATACACATGAATGCACCCTATCAGCATTTAGAACATGTGCATTTGTTGTTTATTCTCACATTTTGATGTTGCTCTGACTTTAACTGCAAAATGAATGTTAGATGACACATTATTCTTTATAAGCAGTTTGATTATTGCCAAGTAGTTTACAATGGAGGAGACAAAAGCTATAACTTCACCTTATTATCATTGATAACTTGATGAATGATATAATTTGACTTTCACTTTTTCACTTTCAAAGTCCTGAAATAAAAACTAACTTTATCTAAATGGCCAGAAGGGGAATTATGAGGCTTCTTTCCTCAGTTTATGCCACTCATTTTGCCTGAATTTTATTTTTGTTTTGCAGAAAAGAGACAAAGTGGTACATAAATATCTCCAGAAAGCTGGAAATTAAATGTTTGAGGTTCAGGATTTCTTGGGGGAGGAGTTCATGTCCCTGTTTAATGTGTTTGTGCTCCCATGTTTGAAAAAAGGTGTCAAAAGAAAGATTTTTAACATTCAAACACAGCTACAGATTTCCTGTGACTCGTGGTAAAAACACACTTTTCATTTTGGCACAATGTGCGTCCGCGCTCACCTGAACAACGTCTTTTACGCGCACAAACGCACTGCAGGCTTGAAACTAGTAACGAACAAGAAAAAAAACTTTAATTATTTACTCTTCAGGTCCACTCGGTTCGAAATGACGTCGTTCACATGAAACCGCGTCAAGGGCAAAAGTGTAATCGGTGCAGACGCAAGAAGAAGAAGTTCCTGGAAACGGAGCGGAGAGCTGGGACGCAGCGCTTCAAACGCGCAGATTCCTCGGAGGCTTGACTTGTGTGCGCTCAGTTTACCGCCAGCAGCAGAAACAAAACTGAGAGAGAGAAGCACTGCTGTTGATCTCTTATGCAGATCACAGTCACAGCTCCGAGGACTCCAGCACACATTTCATCCTGACATGTCACTTTGGTGGAAAGTGCCTGCGACAACAACAATAGGTGAGTTAAGGCGCCGTGAACAATAGCAGTGCGCTGAGAAAGCTGCAGAGGCCTTGTTTTTAACAGTTTGAGCAGCTTTTAGGTGTAATTTTGTAAAAACAGAAACTTGTTTTTATGAGTATTAGTGAAAAACCTGTAATCTGATGCTTTTACTTTGAAATGACCCATGTGTTTACAATCATGGTGATACTGCTGGACATGTTGGAATAGCCTGTAAGTCCACAAATATGGCAAATATATTTGAATATTTTAGGTTTGAAATATGTTAATCTTATTCAAACACTATCAAAAAAATGGACAGTTTGTTTTGGTTGAGTGGTTTCCGGCAGGTTTGAGGTTTCAAAGTACAAATTCTAAGCGCTCTATTTATATATTTGATTCATCCAAACTTTATTTGAGACTGTATGTTTTTGTTGTGGTTGTATAATTTCCCAGGCATGAGCCCCGGGTCACCGCTTTCTGCGTAAAGCGAACTGTACAAAACAACTTCCCAAACTCCTGCTGCTTCAGCCATGAGCGGAAAAGGCTGTCAGCTGCTGGTGTCTCCATGCAGCGTGTCCCCATCGCTGAGCATGATCAGAGGACACCAGGCCCAGTCCATCAGGATGCCCGTGTCCTCCCCACAAAGGACTAATCTCAGTCCCTCCTCGGGGAGAACGGACAAAGCGAAAAGAGGGACCATCCACGACTTGGCTTCTGGGAAACAGAGCGGAAACCACGTCGTCCTGCCAAACCTGAGCCTCCGCAGGCGAGTGTTGACCAACGGAAAGCATCTCAACATGTCGACTGCTTCACCTGCTGCTCATCATCCTCAGAACACAGCGGGGACGGCCAGCACACAGACCCGACTCTGCTCCTCTAATAACAGCTTCAGAGGTAAAAACACGACTCGTCGGAAGGGTTGAAAAGTTCAGACTGACCCGACGGGCGCGCGTGAGCAAAATACAACTTTAGTCAGATCAGCAGTTTAATTGTGCAGCAATTCAGGAGCTCAAAACATCAACCGGCTGCGTTTTTAACTCAGACTGAGAGCTGGATAAACTTCACGACTTCACCAGAATCATAAGGGATTTACTATCGTCACCCTTCATTTAGTCTCATTGTGCTCCTCACAACCTCACTGTCTTCTTGCGAGACCTTCTGTTCCCTTATTTATTGATAATTTACCAAGCATAAAGCTTGTCCCTAAATTTTCTACTGAAAAGTGGAAGGAGGTGAAAAGCTCATTAGTGATTAACAGAGCAGAGCCGAGCCGAGCAGAGCAGTGTCTCTGTTCTGAGAGGGAAATTCCACACTGCACTCTATAAACCTTTCAAAAAGAAACTGACTGAAAATGCTGCATTTCAGTTTGGTTTAGTGTCTTTTCCACATAGTTGTGTAATTTTATGTTCACACTTTGAACTGCTTTGTGGAAATTTGTTGAATGAGAGTCAAAGTTGTTCCTCTGCTGTGACCTTTTTTTGCAGGAGGGGAGAGAAGGGGGAAGTAGCTCCCATGTGGATATTTTATTTATTAAATTCTGGGCTTGTGTCCAGCAGATTGCCCCGTGTCTGGGCCTGCCATGGATGTATTTGGTCAGGCAGCTGCTGTTAACCTAACAGTCACCAGCAGTCCCATGGCGGTTGTCACAGGCCAACGCTATACCGCGGGGCCTGCAGCGCCTCATCCTCAGTCTCACAGCGTGCCGATTCCCCACACGGATGCCAGGTAATCAGTATATGCTAAGCGATGATGAGCTCACCAGAGAGAGTTTTATGTTAGTAAAACAAATCTTTCTTTTCAGATCCGTACTGTCCAGAGAGTCCCTGGCATCCACCACCCTCAGTCTGTTCGAAACGCAGTCGATGTTTAGTGGCAGACATGATTGGCCATATGGTTACCGCGTGCTTCCTCCCCTGGGACTACCTCAGAGCTCCGCTCAGGCCAGCGAGGGCGTGGAGCAGCTCAGCCTTTCCCCCGGCACGGCCATGTCCGGCACCACGAGCACCTCCGCCTCCCTGCCCTCGTACCTCTTCGCGGGCGAGGCCGGAAGCCCCAGACAGTCTCGCGCGAAGAAGAGAGCTCTGTCCATGTCGCCTCTGTCGGATGTCATGGGCATTGATTTCAACTCCATCATACGCACCTCGCCTACCTCGCTCGTGGCTTACATCAACGGCTCCCGCAGCTCTCCGGCCTCCCACCCCACGCTCTCGCCCGTTCAGTCGGAGAGCTACGGCCACTTTCTGGGCGTGAGGGGCCGCTGCATCCCCCAGACCCATCCCTACACCGCGCCAGCCCTGGCCCCGCAGTCGGAGTGCGGCCGTATGCAGATGCTTGAAGAGGGAGGGGGTCTGGAGAGCCAGATGGCTAACATGGTGGTGGAGCAGCAGTGCCTCCCCGATGAAGGAGGGGTGCTGGAGAAGACTTCAGACAGATGCAGCCAAACCGCCAACAATATGCTGCCACCTCTACAGTTAGAGCCAGCTCTGTTGAGCACCGTCCAAGAGGCTGCCACTCCACACGGGCCTCCGCCACCCTACCACTCACACCAGCACGTCCAGCTCGCCAGACATCACGGTAGAATAAAGCCCCCTTCTCAGGACACGCAAGCTCCCATGGTTCCTCCCAGACACGGGGTCAGCTTTTTACCCCAGATCCCGATGCTGGAAGAAGAAGAGGGAGAGCTGGAGGACTACGGGTCCCACTGCTGCAGGTGGTTGGATTGCAGTGCGGTCTACGACCAAAAGGAGGAGCTGGTGAGGCACATAGAAAAGCTTCATGTGGACCAGAGGAAGGCTGAGGATTTTACATGTTACTGGGTGGGCTGTCCGCGCAACTTCAAGCCTTTCAACGCCCGATACAAGCTCCTTATCCACATGAGGGTCCATTCAGGAGAGAAACCCAACAAGTGCTCGGTACACCCCGCAGCCACGTCGTCTCTTTTCACGCAACATAATTCAATGCTTTATTTTCATACTTTATTTCTCTGCCTCTTTGAAATAACATCTCATATAGCTCCCTTCCTAACAATGCGCATAGCGAGCTCCCTCTCAATCACATGAATTTTTTATTTATTTATTTTTTATTCATTTGTGAGACGGCAGTGAATGCAGTCAAAGCAGGAACATGATGAATGTCAGAGCTCACTGAGTTCAATTCTGAGTGTTCCATTCAAAGCCACAGTGTCTAGCTGAAGACTTTAATGCCTCAGCCTGCTGGAGAAAAAAAAAAGCCCTTTTTTTTTTTTAGGGTAAATGCCTTCATGTTCTTTGGGTTTACAGCCAAGGTTTAGATCAGAAATAATGCCGCTCTCTCCTCTTAACTGAAGCCACGGGGTAATTAGCGGAGCTCTGTGATAATTGACATGGGAGTTAAGTCAATTATATAGTTATTAAATCAGCACAAAGGAGGCCTAGCACTTTAGATCTGGCATTGCACCATGGTGCTCTCGTAGCTACTGGGCCTGTCAACAGCCAGGAGTTTGCCAGGCCACCGTCTGACAAAACTTGGCTGTGGTTCTGGGAAGGTGATGCCCCGTAGTCTGGCATGCTCCTTTGGCCAAAGATTTAGAGTTTATCCATGGGCTCGATTATTGATGAATTACCGAGCTTTGTGTCTCTGAGATGAATGATGCGGTTCTCTCTGATGTGTTGCAGTTCAAACAGGACTTTGCAGTTTGGTTATTTTAGTTGGTGAACGTAACAAGAAAGATTTCACGCTGCAGAGATTCCAGGTTCAGTGTGAAATATAGAAACAAGATTAAGAGTCTACCGACAGCAGCGATGATTGAGCTAAATGCTAGCGTTACCATTTCATCATGCCCATTAGGCAAGTGTAGTATTTGCTAATGCAACAGCAACATTAACAGTTACAGTTACAGCTGAGGCTAATATGGGGTTTCATCGCTTTTGCAGATACAAAAAGTATTCGACATCTAATGGTGGCTTTAAAAAAGTCAGGGTATCCCCAAAGTGCAAGCGCAGCTCATCCTGAGGGGACAATAAATATGAAATTTCACAAGTCATTGTGGTTCAGACATTCAAATTACAGCCAAACACAATGATGAGCCAGTGTTACTAAAAGAAAAGGAAGAGGACATGAAAATCAGTGAACAGTATCGGATGATCAGTGAGGCTGTCTGCACCTGAATTTGTGCAAAGTCATTGGATAGATGTTGAAATGTTTCATAGGAAGAATGAAAACTTTGACCTGGTGGAGGATTTAACCAAAGTCATTATGATTCACCATCTGGGTAACGAGGCTTTCATCCAATACTAGTTGAGAGTTTCACCAAATTCTGCACATGTCAACCCGGTGATGGAGCTAAAAGAAGAGTTGGAGGGTCACCAGACTCAGTGGAGAGCTCATTCTGTCTGAACCAAAGACGTTGTGAAATATTAAATTCTAGACCAAAGCGCGGAACCGACTGACCGTCAGACAAATTACCTCTCGGGCCACATAGCTAACATTGCTGAAAATTACGCGTTTATTGTCCTTTCCTCGCTCCCGCTGTGAAAATGCTTGAGACTTAGATGAGTAATTAAACCGCGGGCCAAACATGCTTCGTGTCGCTGCTTTCGACGAGTCAATCATTAACAGCGTGCATACCTGCAGTCGACCTTTCGCTCCAAAATACTCACTTATTAGTTGGAGCCGGTTCTGTTGCCATGGGGCTGCAGTCGGCGGATGGGTCTGTGTTCCCTGCTGAGCGATCAATCATTCATGGTCACAGCCCACTGCCAACGACAGAATTCATGCAAAGTGACACTTTTGCTTGTGGTATTGTTATTGCAGACAAATTCTAAGTATAGACGGAAAAAGTTAACACATTCGACCTATCGCTCATGCACTTTAATGAGACATTATGACTCTGTGTGGATCCGTTTCAGATCGGGGCTGAACATTATGCCAAGAGTTCAGCCTGTTTTTATGTTTTTTTTTTCTCGTTTCATCGACCAGAGTTTGTGCATGCGATTACTTCAACTGAAAAGTTTAAGCAAAATGTTAGATGCCGAATCAAAACAGTGAGAATGGCTTCAGGAAGCAGGTAACTAGGATGCAGAGCCCGAGATGATTGGCAGGTGAATAAACCGCTGCATGATATATGAAATGTTCCAGCCGGCAGCAGAACAATGAGGTGGCTCTCGTTACACAGTGAACATATAGGGCAGGCCCAGACTTGTACCTCGCAATCCCTTTAACTGAGGAGCAGTTTGTTAATATATCCTTGACTCACCGGCCTATTTGCATGTGTCACTATGATTTAAGCATATAAGGTTTTACAGGCATAGTCATAGTTATGGTGAGGAAGCACATTCATTGCGATTTTTTAGTACCATTCTGTGCTTTTTTTGCACATATTGCAAGTAATGGAGATGGATTGTTTTCTGGAATTAGTAGTAGTAGTTTTCCGCTACGACTCCAGCTATTTAAAAATAAATAAAGAAAAATAACAAAGAAAAATCTTTAATATCAGTCTCAGAGTAAAATGTGTTTTGATTTTACATTAATTATACAGAATTTAAAATACATAATGATAAGTAAAAAACAATCATCGGTATACATTTTAACTTTATTTAATCTCTTTTCTTTCAGTCTGCATTAATCAGTGCTTTGGTTTGCTGTGATCACTCAGTCCTTTTGTGTTGATTGATGATAAAAAACCTTAGTTTCTCCTTAATCCGCTAAATTTCTCTGCAGCAGCTTGTAATTGGAGCCCTGTTATTGAAACTAGAAGAAAAGTCTGGTGAGATTTTAGGTTTGACAGCATTTTAAGCGCCATCCTTTTAATTGTTTGGAGGAAACTGAGTTGGTTTTGGCACCAGGAAGTGATGCTTGAGTACCTGGAGGGGATTTTCATAGTACTGGCTCTGTCAGTATTTGACTTTTGTAGACAAATAATTTGGTCTCATTGGATTTTTTTTAATTTAATGAAGGTAAATCAAGTTTGTGATTGAAAAAAAGAATGAATCCTAGCCTGAGTTGGATAAATCACTATTATCCACATGCCTGGTATAGCATATTGTAAACATTTATTGATCCAGGAGCTCCAAACCATCATGAAAAGCTCCAAGTATGATACCATACTATGATAGTTTGCTAAGCTTATAGTTTTAAAAAGGTTCATACAATATATATATTATTCCGTTTTATTCATTCTGTCCTATTTTTTGAGTGAAAAACCATTTCCCATGCTGCTTTCTACCAGGAATTTAAAAGCCAATGCAGGCAGAGATTTGGAAGAAAAGATGTAAAACCAAAAAAGAGCAAAAAAAAAAAGGGGGTAGAAATATCACAGATGAAACGGGGGAAGAGTGGAGTCCAGAGTGAATTGACCTCAGAGTGAGACTGGGCACCGGACAGAGCCTGCTGGCACAGACTGCAGCTGTCATTGTTCAGCCTGGGCATGAGTACCTGCCAGGACCTGTCAGAAGCTGGCTGTAGCACTCATCTCCACTGAGGAGCCATACTGCTTTCTTTTCAGCCCAAACATCCCTTGTGACAAGCTAAAAAGCCCTCTGTGCTGTATGAGAGCTTCATGAGATGGAGAGAGAGAGAGCGTTACACAGTTACCTACTTCTGGATACTTCTGGCAGGATTTTAGCTTTGTGCTGTTGTTTTTTTTTGTTTTTTTTGCTGGTCTGTCCACTTTGGTTGTGAGACGCTATTTATCTCTGTCTGGCCTGTTTTTCTTGGGGCGCTTTAGTTGAGCGGTCTGTTCTTAATTATTTTCTTCAATCTATATTTAGTCCTGGTGTATTTTGCCACTGTAACCCCCTTGAGAAGGAGCATTTAAGGTAACAGGACAGAATTGTATAAACTACCCCACAATTACTCTCATTCATAGAAGGAAGTTATGTGAACTATTTGTCATTTGGGGCTTTTTCGATTTATTGAATTTCCAATTTAATCTGTTTGCTTCGACAAAATATCAAGAATTTTTCATATCCAGTCCTGGTCAACCTACACTATACTCATTTTCCAGCCTCATAAGTGGTTGGCATGGCGTTTAATTAGCCATAAATAGCTCCCATGGAAACAAAATTTAGCTAAAAGTGGTAACTAATTTTTAAGTTCAACTGCAATGACTGGTTAGAGTCACAGATAATAGAGAAAGAATGGCAAGCATGTGTAATACCGGGAAGAAAGAAAAAAATCATTTTAATTTGGCTCTGGCAGTGATGACCGAGAGGTATCAGTATGTGAGGAATCCAGTCTTGGAGGAAGAATAACAATATCGGACATGGTCTGAGTGTTTTGCCCATGAGGCTTAGTAAGGACATTCCAAATCCCCTGTGAACAGGAAGAGGGAGAGTTAAGGTCCTGCCCTTACAACAGAACAGCTTTGATGATTCACATGTTTTAGCAGTGAAGTCACTGTGGTCACATGCAAAAAAAAAAAAAGAGAGCGAGCAGTTTCGTTGTTTGGGATTACTGTGGTATTAGTATTTTCCGTAAAAACCCCCAGACACATGTGTAGCTTTATACAGAAGCTGTGGTATCACATATCAAATCTGCTAAATGTGACTTTCTCTATTCTTTTTTTTGTAATTTATCGCCATCAACTGCTGTCAAGGTGATGCAAGACAGAAGATGGGAAACAAAACAATATATCATGCGTGTATAAATACTGACCCCTGCTGGTGACGCTGCAACTATCAAACGAATCACTAAAATGTGTTGTCAGTGTTAAATATAAAACCTGAAGTGAACGCAGAATTTTTTTTAAAGCTGTAGTTTTTCTGAAGTTTGAATTCGCTGAACTAAAACTCTCATCCATTTGATTCTTTCTGGGAGGCCTGCATCTAAATTCCCAATTAATCATCATAAAATAGACCTTTTCTTACAGTGCAAAGTCCCCATGATTGTATCCATTTAAAGATATTACTGTGACAGCGTTTTGTTGCCGGACTGCATTGGAAAACAGAAAACTTGGTTCAGTAACATTTAGACGACTTTACTGAAGTCCTAGATTATGATTGCAATCATAGGGTTTCAGCATTTGCTATTTGTTTCGTGGTGTGTTATTTCCAAGCTTGAGCACAAAAAGAGTGCTCGTTAAGTAGCTTAAGGATCCTAATTGGGCAGGAAGTGATTATTCTGGTTGTATTTTCCTAAATTCCTGCATCTCAGCATTTCCCAAACATCCAAATAAAAGTCATGCAAAGTGTAAGTACAGATCCACAAAATATATGATGTAAGTAGTGACATGTGGCAACGTCTCTGCGTGATACTCAGACCTATAAAGACAATGTACCGGTCCGGTCACGACAACCAGGAGCACCAGTCCTGAATGGATCGCATTAATTTGCCATAAAACTGAAATTCACTTGTCTCCCCAAATGTTTTCCCTCTCAAGGTTTTGCTGACTTACAGCTGCTTTCCAGTCAGCCGTGAAACCAGCAATGAACAGTTACGGCCACCTTGAATGTCAGGCTGAAACTAAATGACAGTAATTTTTCTATTCAGATGATTTCTATATTTCCTATTCCACTCCCTCCCACACACACTGAGGTCAGCAGCCTTTTGTCAGTGGTGATTCCAGCAAACATGCAGATACTCCAAGGGTACAATATGCACAACCTCACATTAGAGATGCTCGGAGAGTTTATATTGAATATTGCACCGGGTGGAAGCAGCGGGCCAAAACGCAATGCACTCCAATAATCACTCCCTCTTTTTAAAAACATGCATGTATTTGTTGAAGGATTCTTAAACTGCGGTAGCTTCAACTGCCCTCTCTGTGTTCACAGTTTGAAGGCTGCAAGAAGGCTTTCTCCCGGCTCGAAAACCTCAAGATCCACCTGCGGAGCCACACGGGGGAGAAACCCTACATGTGCCAGCACCCGGGATGCCACAAGGCTTTCAGCAACTCGAGTGACAGAGCTAAGCACCAGCGCACACACCTGGACACGGTGAGTGGCAGCCCGGCACGAATGCACATACAATTCTGGACGCCGCTTCGATGCTTTGCGTCAGTGTGGCCTTCAGTAAGTGTCTATACATGCTGTGTTGTACAGAAGCCGTACGCCTGCCAGGTGCCCGGCTGTGCAAAGCGCTACACTGATCCCAGCTCCCTGAGGAAACACATGAAGTCCCATTCGACAAAAGAGCGACAGTTACGGAAGAAGGCAAGTGCCTGAACACAATCCACGATTTGTTGTTTTTTTTTAAGAGCAAACAATATCCATCCATCCATTATCTATACACCGCTTAATCCTCACTAGGGTCACGGGGGGCTGGAGTCTATCCCAGCCGACTCAGGGCGAAGGCAGGGGACACCCTGGACAGGTCACCAGTCTATCACAGGGCTACACTTAGAGACAGACAACCAAGCACACTCACATTCACACCTACAGACAATTTAGAATCACTAATTAACCTCAACATGTTTTTGGACTGTGTGGGAGGAAGCCGGAGAACCCGGAGAGAACCCACGCTGCACGGGGAGAACATGCAAACTCCAGCAAACAATATTGTTCTTGAAAATATATATTACTTATAAAAACACACAATTATAATACGAAGCTCAGTGAGCGCTGACTGACAGTGAGCATTAAGTTCAACCAGATTTGTAAAACACTTGCTGTCATAAAAACAAACTTTTCGTGTTGACTGAAGCTCACGAGCGGTGACAGCAAGTCTACATCACAGACATGAACAGGGAATAAATCACACTGACACGTATTGTAAATTTCATTTCATTGTACTTTCATTTGTCCTAATTAGCTGACAGTAAGCTGTTTCCTTCCATCTCACCGTGTTGGAAACATGTCATCTACTTTAACTTTAACTGACGTAAATCTAGCATGCAGTTAGGTGAAAATATCTAACACACACTTGGGTTACCACTGACAGAAATAGGTCAAACCAAAATACATGTAATTATGTTATTTGTCATATCCTTGTTCCATTTTCATGATTTTATTTAGTTTTCCTCTAGTTTTCTTTATTTTTTTCTGTCCCTAGGGGCCACTCCATTGCATTTGCTTCATAGTTTTACTTTATGGCACCGCAGTGATGCAGTTCTTATTTTTGCATGTGATGCTCTTTAGCACCGAGGCTTATGTCGCCATAGATACAGACAAAGGAGGTGGGTTGTTACTAAAAAAAGTGACATTTTGCGTCTCCTGTGTGCTCAACTTCTTCTATCTAAAATGTTTAATGTAATTATGATTTCACGTGTGGTTGTCATGACAGATTATTTTTCGCTTTTGTTGACAGAGCAATGAAAGATAAGATAGGAAAGTGGGGGGAGGCCTGCAGCAAATGACAGTAGGCGGGATTCGAACCCACAACCGCTACGTCAGGGACTACAGCCCCTGTATACGGGGCGCAGTCTCCCTGCATGACAGATTATATATTATACTTGCTTTTTAAAAGGTTAACTGCGAAATTCTATCCCATATGCTGTATACAACCCATAATTAGCATTTTTTTTCTCGCCTTCTCTGATGGTAGTAAATCGGCTCGAGTCCAAAATATAAGTAATAGGCTTTTCCCGTATAAATATGTCTTCTTTATTTGATACTTGGAGTAGCAGCAAATGTGGGAAGTGAGAGGCAAAGTGGTGCTGCATGCAACATATTTTCTGGCAGGATGCCCGTTTAAGATGCATTACATCGGTTCCCAGATTAATTTTGAATTGATTTTATTATGGCTTTAGTTGGATTTTCTGAAGAATTAATGGCTCAGCCACCGCTAATGCAACACTGACTTTTCCTGTTCGGATGATATATGAACGGAGCTTTTTAGCATTTAAAAACAAAAAGTGCTCAAGGTGACCTGCCAGAGGACTCGTCCTAATAAATCAGATGTGTTAGACTTGAAGATGTTTTGGTTAGATCTAACTAATCAAAACTCCTAAACAAAAATAACAAGACATTCTATACATTATATATGATTAACTGTTAAAATATTGTAGAATAAACATACTCAGACTATAATATTAGCAGACAGACGAAATCAAAATTCTGCCAGAATCTCATCACTGTTTATGCTGTTTATCATTGTTTACAGTTGTGAACAAAACATTACACACACTTGTTACGATCATGTATATCATGGCAGTCTTAAGTGTCAAATGAACTGCTGTAACGCTGAATTTTTTTAATGACTACAGCTGCTGCTCAGTCACAGAGCGACAATGGGAAAGTCTGAGGAGCTCAGCACAGATCTAAAAAAGCAAATCATTGATATGAACAAGTCAGGAAAGTCACTTAAAGCCATTTCAAAGCATCTGTTAATCCCAAAATCATCTGTGCAAACAACTTTTTTAAGTATAAAGTGCACAATCAGAAAGAAAACACAAATTATCACCTGCTGCTGAGAGACAACTGGTCAGGATGGTCTGGAGCAGAGGTGTCCAATCTTTTAGATGTTTCCCTCTTCCAGCACACCTGATTCAAATGATCAGCTCATCATCAAGCTCTGCAGAAGCCTGATAACGATCCTGATCATTTGAATCAGGTGTGTTGGAAGAGGGGAACATCTAAAACATGCAGGATTGTGGCCCTTGAGGACCAGGATTGGACACCCCTGGTCTAGAGTCAACCAAGAATCAACCAAAATAGATAGAATAGATAGAATGCCTTTATTGTCACTATACACAAGTACAATGAGATTGAGAGCAGCTCCGTCAGTGCCATACATAATAAAGTACAAAATAAAGAGCAAAAAAATGAAAAATAGAAGAGATTTAAGTATAAAAAATAAGATAAGTTATATATACAGTATACAGTATAGGTTATATGTACAGTATGGATTTAGAAAAATATTGCACATCATGGTCATTGATGGTATTGCACATTTGTAGGGTTTACAGTAGGTGGATATGAGGTAGATGGGGGGGGCTGGGGTGGACTGTGATGCCAGTGCATTTGTGAGTTCAGAGTGGTGATGGCTTTTGGGAAGAAGCTGTTCTTGAGTCTGTTTGTTTTGGTTCTGATGCACTTGTAAAGAAGGTCTGCGATGAATCTAAAGCAGCTGCAGGTGTCGAGCTCCACAGTCAAGCATGTTTTACATCGCTATGGGCCGAGAGGCCGCCATGCAAGAAGAAAGCTCTTTCCTCAGAAGGAGAACCTTAATTGATAAAGAAAAGGTCTTCTGGAGGAAAGTTCTCTTGTCAGATGAAACAAAAAGCGAGCCAGTTGGCCACAATGATGGTGGTAGTATTATGCTCTGGGGCTGTTTTGGTGCCAGTGGAACTGGTGCTCTACTCAAAGTAAGTGGACACATGTAGGAAAAGGATTACCTTCACATTCTTCAGGAAAACCAACAAGACAGTGACCCCAGACTCATCAAAAGTGGTAAAGAAATGTCTAAATTGGGCTAGAAATAAAGTTTTAAACTGGTCTCCCCAAATCCCTGACTTAAACCCCATCAAGAACCTGTGAACTGTGATAAAGAAACAAGTCTGTGTCAGAAAGGCACCAAATGTAGTTTAACTGTGCCAGTTTTGTCAAGAGGATTGCAGACAGCCACCAAAACCGTCTAGTTGAGGTACCAATATTAGTATTGGGGTATGTACATTGATTTTGATTTTGTCATATTTCCAGAAGACCTATAACAGATCTATGAAAGAATCTGGATTCTTTGATTGTTTTTTTTGCTGAAAAGATGCACATATTTCAGCGAGTCCAGCGTAGATAATGAAGAGTTTTCGTCACTGGAAGCTCAAGGCCGCCGCGCTATACACGGTCTTTACAAGCGTATGTGAACAACTGTATGTCTATGTGCCGTTCTGTAGATGAAATCCACTGCCGATGTGACCCAGGACACGCTGACAGACTGTTTAACCATCCACCCTCTACAACCAAGCCTTTCTCCTCTGGCAAGGCTAGACAACAACTTGAACACGTCCCCTGGTGCCTCCCGTGAGTCATACTCTGGTATGTCTAAGCTCCGGCTCATTGCATTAATGTGTTTGATATTTAAAGAAAAAAAAAAAAAGGGAAAAAGAAGTAGATACGTAAGCACTTCCCCCTGCAACCATGTGCATGTAATAGGTTTATCCATTTGGTGGACAGCCCTGAAGTATCTGTCATCCCTGTTCCTCAGCTGCTCCACAGGGACAAGACTCCTACAGCGATCCTCACCTGGCTCTGTTGTTCTCCTTACAGGATAATTACAGGTACTGGGGATTTCCTTTGTTTTTATAAGCATTGTGTGAGGGTTTACATTTGAGTTACAGAACAAACTATTCAGATTTTTTTATTTAAATGTCATCACACCATCTTGTCGGTAAAGGCTGTTTGCTTACTTATTCATTGCCTTAAAATGTAAGTAAATACTCGGAGCAGGTAGCTTTACTCGGTAAGCCAAGTTGTGTCTTCTTTTCATTTCGTATTCCCATTGGCACAGCTAGAAGTTTAACCATGACTGCTTCACCAATCTTTTTTTTTCTCTCTCTTTTGATTAACTTAAGCATTTGGTTGTCATGGATTCAAGACTATAAGCTCATAATTAGAATAATCAGTTTAAAGCACTACTTTGCACTAAAATCCAAAGGGTTGTGGGCTTTTTTTTGTTGTTGTTGTTTGTTTGTTTTTGTTCATTTGGGTGGATGCTATGGCTGGGAAGAGGCTTTTTTTATTTTTTATTTTTTTAGGTTGGGAATGGCAAAGCGGCGCATTTCCCCCATAGGAACACATCCCTTCATCCATACACTTCAAAGCATGTGATAAAGGATTTCTGTCGTCTCGAGCAGCCAGATGCTCATGGCTCCTCACTGGCTTTGATTGTTCTCATATCAGCGGTAGGCCAAAGCATTCACTGCAGGATTCTGTGTAGACAATCGGCCTGTGAAAGCAGACCTCGCCTTGCCTCATTGGTCTGGACCGCTAGCATTAATGGATGCTATAGCCACCGACTGGAGCGGCTGAGGAATTCAATAAGTGAATCATAAAGTCTAAAAAAAATACAATTTAAGGTCCAGAGGGAGAAGAGAGAGAGCGCTGTAATTACTTTTTTTTTTTTTTTAGATGTTAAATCAATTGTAAAATCCTTGTTGCCATTTTCGGTACACTTCTCTGGGATTCCTTTCACTCACTACAGCGTATATTGTCGGCAAACTTTGGCAGGTTATCGCCAACTATTCATGCAAATGTGTTAACAGCAGGGGCGTCAGCTACAATGGCCGCTGGGTAATATTTAAACTGACTGGTTTAATCATCTGTATTTAACAATGACTACTGAAAGCAGCGTCCTTGATTTTTTTTCGTCTTTTAAAAGATGTTAAACTTCAGTTGCATACCTAACTATTCGCCAAGAGAAAATGTTCAGTGCGGTAAAGCAGGAAGTCTCCTTTGTAGTAGCAGTTTACAACAAAGACAGATGGAGAGGTCTTGATTTATTATCGACTAAAAAAGAGTGCCGAAGGAACATACTGCAGGCATAGACTTGCACCGTTGTATTGGAGAAAGCCATGAATGAGCTTGTGCCGCACACAGTGGAGTGCAGAGTGTCTCTCTTGATAGTTAAATCAGAGAATCCATGAACCTGATAACTACATCACCTGTGTTTTTTCTATACGCTGCAGAAGCTATATGTTTGATTGCAAATATCAAGATAATTCATGCCTTTAGATTATATGTAAAGGTTCCATATTGGGCCCCTTTTCAGCGAGTTAATCAAAGTCTTATGTCTCCACAGTGTGTCTTTTAGTTTAAAACACTGCATTGATAGTTCCCTTCACCATGGCTGTATAAGCCCTGGTTTTAGCTCTAAATGGGCTCTAAAAACCAATAAGCTGCTGCTGTTCCTGCCTCTTTCAGGGAAAAAAAAATGTCGTCTGTGTCTGTGGTTGAAAGCCAAAGCTTAAAGAATGGCAGAAGTCGGTCTACATATCTAACATTCTTTATTTTACACCTCAAAGTTTATAACAACCACAAAACAGAATAAAAATGGACTTTCACCATATAGGACCTTTAAACTAGGCCATGCAGAAAACTAAGGGTTAAATCAGCTGTGCGGTGGGTCACAAAGTGTCATAGGAGAGGCAGAGGAACACGTGAAGGCTTCTTTGCTTATTGCATGGATGTAGGGAGGACAGAAAAGTTTGAGATGACAGAAGGAGCTTTCTGCATCTTTATTTTGATTTTTGATTTTTTTTTCTTCCAAATACGAGCCCATCACGTCGGAAACAAACAGGAGATGTGTTCACAAGCACAAGCCAAGGACTGAGGGCTGTCATAAGTGATGACAGTTTATCAAACAGTCATAGAACCCTCCATCTATCCATCATCTATACACCGCTTAATCCTCACTGGGGTCATGGGGGGCTGGAGTCTATCCCAGCTGACTCAGGGTGAAGGCAGGGGACACCCTGGACAGGTCCGGCCATGGAACCGATATTGTTAAATGTACACAGATTGTGCAAAATGTGAACTTGTCATTATGACGCGGTGGATGCATTTGCAGCCAAATGGAAACTATGTGTTTGTGTGAAACTGTGGCAAATGTGGAATTAGTCAAATACAGCTGCTTGTGAAAATGCTGCTTGTGCATAAAATTGCAAAATTGTAATTGAAGGGTAGCAAAGGGGTGATGCAGTTGTAAACTTGGGCATTTTTTTTATTTCCTTTGCCTTTGATATTTAGCATAAGTGGTTTAAAAGGAGATTATGATACCCTTCAAAAGTGATTTTTGATATATAGGTTGATAGAGTTTTATAGAAATTGCTTAGTATTTTCTATTGCATATTGTTTTTTTAAATAAAGCTTCATACACTGACCCATAGGTAGCTCAGAGGACGGACACAAGAAAAGCAATACCAATTTTTTTAAAAAGCACCCTGCAAAAATACTGTAACCCATTATTCAATTGGGTGAGATTTAAAAAAAAGAAAAACACAAGTTTAGAAGAAGAGCGAGCTAATGCACGCTGTCCCTGCAGTACTTTTTTTTTTTTTAAATATAGCATTTAGTTTCATAGACTTTCATAAGGTAAAAAAATAATAAATAAATAAACGACAGTGTGCATTAGTTGTCTCTTCTTTTACCTGTGGATATTTCCTCCTACGCACTACAAGAAATTGTATGTGTGCATGAGCCTTCACTGTCTCCCTTGTTTTCTTGTTAAAATATGAGATGCATTTCAAAAGCAACACAAAAGTTAATTGCTGTTGAGTTTCATTAAGACGTAGCCATACAGAGATGTCTGTTTTTGTTGTTGTTGTTGTTGTTTCAATAACAAAGAAAGGGTTAGGGTTAAAAAAAAATAGAAATCTTAACACCACATCAGTGTATTTACTTAAGTTTAAAACATTTCAGGTGTGTTGATCCTTCCCCTCACCAGCTCTTCCCCGGGGACCAGCGTGGGCCTCGCTCTTCCACCTGCCTCCCGCATCCTCCCACTGGGCCATCCCTGCAGAACAACCGTGATCTGAAGCAGCCGCCCAGCCGGCCGCCCGACCCGGCGGCTCACGGCGCAGGTAGTCGCAAGGTTTACGATCGACATTTATTCTTGGGAGTTTGCGAAAATGCTCGCTCCACAGATGTAAACACAGTTGTGCCAAAGGGGACGAGGCTTCTGAAAAATGTGCGAGTTTCACATCTGAAGAGCCTATTAGCGAACGTGTGGGCGGCTTGACAATCCGTTGAACAGATTTTCTCACATGCACATTAATCGCGCAGGATATCTTTATGATGTGTAGCAGGTGGCTGGTGATTTTTTTCTACTTAGACAGAATCAGGCACCTTCATTCTGTGTACCTTTAAATAGATATCACCTCTTTCCCCCCCAGACTTGACAGCTACGGCGATATTGACGAGGTGTTTAGAAACACACTTCTTTTTTTTTTTTT